TGGTTGTATAATCAATGCAAATATCTCCATATGTCAAATGATTTTATAACAGTATCAAATAGCTCCTTTTCAGGTTCCCTAAGTGAAATTACAACTCCCACTCCAATGGAAGAGGGTAGCTAAATTAAAATTCAAAGGGCATATCTCTCTGTCTTTCGCCTCTGACCTGAGGGTGCACTAACCTGTAACATAGCGTCCCCAACGAATAGCTTCCCAGTTTGGTATGCTGCAGGCGCAAATCGTTGAGTGTGAAGGTTAATGAAAACATTAGAAAATAATGACTCATTTCATACATGTTCCTGTCTGCCTAATCTCCACTGACATCACAGAGCTCTCAGGAACACAGGAAACCATGAAATGTGGAACTAATCAGGATATTAACTCATTTGCAACAGCGTTAACAAAACAATCAAACTTCTCAACTGGTGAAAAGATTTCCATCTTTGAAGAAGAATGTAAACTTTCCTCTCTGAGGCATGTTCCTCTCTGGGTTATTAGCAGCATGTTCCTCTCTGGGTTACTAGAGGCATGTTCCTCTCTGGGTTACTAGAGGCATGTTCCTCTCTGGGTTACTAGAGGCATGTTCCTCTCTGGGTTACTAGAGGCATGTTCCTCTCTGGGTTACTAGAGGCATGTTCCTCTCTGGGTTACTAGAGGCATGTTCCTCTCTGGGTTACTAGAGGCATGTTCCTCTCTGGGTTACTAGAGCCATGTTCCTCTCTGGGTTACTAGAGGCATGTTCTTCTCTGGGTTACTAGAGCCATGTTCCTCTCTGGGTTACTAGAGGCATGTTCTTCTCTGGGTTATTAGCAGCATGTTCCTCTCTGGGTTACTAGAGGCATGTTCCTCTCTGGGTTATTAGCAGCATGTTCCTCTCTGGGTTACTAGAGGCATGTTCCTCTCTGGGTTACTAGAGGCATGTTCCTCTCTGGGTTACTAGAGGCATGTTCCTCTCTGGGTTACTAGAGGCATGTTCCTCTCTGGGTTACTAGAGGCATGCTTTTCTGCTTTCGCTACCAGAAAGGTATTTGGGGATGTGGCAAAAGAGAAGATGCTCTTCTGGTATATTTTGTGGTTCAATCCCCTGAGTGTATCCTGAGCGGGGGGGGGTTGTAATAGCTACGTTGAAACAGAATGTGTCTAGTTCCTCATACATCTCGTCAGCAGATTTCCATGACCAGCTGAGTAACTGCATTCTGGTTACCAAAGTAGTAATACAATAATTGCCTGACCTAGAAACGTATAAACATAAGGGGAACGTAACCTAAAGTGTTTTATATTGATATCGTTCATAACAGCACTACACATGTCAGATGTTTCAGTCCACATCACTGTCAGATGTTTCAGTCCACATCACTGTCAGATGTTTCAGTCCACATCACTGTCAGATGTTTCAGTCCACATCACTGTCAGATGTTTCAGTCCATATCACTGTCAGATGTTTCAGTCCACATCACTGTCAGATCGTTCAGTCCACATCACTGTCAGATGTTTCAGTCCACATCACTGTCAGATGTTTCAGTCCACATCACTGGGAGATGTTTCAGTCTACATCACTGTCAGATCGTTCAGTCCACATCACTGGGAGATGTTTCAGTCCACATCACTGTCAGATCGTTCAGTCCACATCACTGGGAGATGTTCCAGTCCACATCACTGTCAGATGTTTCAGTCCACATCACTGTCAGATGTTTCAGTCCACATCACTGTCAGATCGTTCAGTCCACATCACTGTCAGATCGTTCAGTCCACATCACTGGGAGATGTTCCAGTCCACATCACTGTCAGATATTTTTGTCCACGTCACTGGGAGAAATGTTCAATACTGCCTTACCTACTTGATCTTTAAACATCTTTGAGATGACCACAGGCACTTTATGCTCAGCACCCCCCTGAGACACAAGAGAAAGGTCATTATTAATCACAAAGTGTAACATTTATATACAGTGCATTCGGAAACTATTCAGGTCCCTGACTTTTTCCACATTTTGTTACATTACAGCCTTATTCTGAAATGGATTAAATTGTTGTTTTACCCCTCATTAATCTACACACACAATACCCCATAATGACAAAGCAGATTTAGATTTTTGTGCTAATAATATATATATATATATTTTTTTAAATATAACATTTACATAAGTATTCAGACCCTTTACTGAGTAATAATAATAATAATAATAATATGCCATTTAGCAGACGCTTTTATCCAAAGCGACTTACAGTCATGCGTGCATACATTTTTGTGTATGAGTACTTTGTTGAAGCACCTTTGGCAGCGATTACAGCTTAGAATCTTCTTGGGTATGACGCTATAAGCTTGCACACCTGTATTTGGGGAGTTTCTCCCATTCTTCTCTGCAGATCCTCTCAAGCTCTGTCAGGTTGGATGAAGAACGTCGCTGCACAGCTATTTTCAGGTATCTCCAGAGATGTTCGGTCGGGTTCAAGTCCGGGCTCTGGCTGGGCCACTCAAGAACATTCAGAGACTTGTTCTGAAGCTACTCCTGCGTTGTCTTGGCTGTGTGCTTAGGGTCGTTGACCTGTTGGAAGGTGATCCTTTGCCCCAGTCTGAGGTCCTGAGCGCTCTGGAGCAGGTTTTCATTAGGATCTCTGTTCTTTTCTCCGTTCATCTTTCCCTCGATCCTGACTAGTCTCCCAGTCCCTGCCGCTGAAAAACATCCCCACAGCATGATGCTGCCACCACCATGCTTCACCGTAGGGATGGTGCCAGGTTTCCTCCAGACGTGACGCTTGGCATTCAGGCCAAAGAGTTCCATCTTGGTTTCATCAGACCAGAGAATCTTGTTTCTCACAGTCTGAGAGTCCTTTAGGTGCCTTTTGGCAAACTCCAAGCGGGTTGTCATGTGTATTTTACTGAGGAGTGGCTTCCGTCTGGCCACTCTACCATAAAGGCCTGATTGTTGCAGTGTTGCAGAGATGGTTGTCCTTCTGGAAGGTTCTCCCATCTCCATAGAGGAACTCTGGAGCTCTGTCAGAGTGACCATCAGGTTCTTGGTCACCTCCCTGACCAAGGCTCTTCTCCCCCGATTGCTCAATTTGGCCGGGAGGCCAGCTCTAGGAAGAGTCTTGGTGGTTCCAAACTTCCATTTAAAAATAATGGAGACCACTGTGTTCTTGGGGACCTTCAATGCTGTAGACATTTTTTGGTACCCTTCCCCAGATCTGTGCCTCGACACAATCCTGTCTCAGAGCTCTACGGACAATACCTTCGACCTCATGGCTTGGTTTTGCTCTGACATGCACTGTCAACTGTGGGACCTTATATAGACAGGTGTGAGCCTTTCCAAATCATGTCCAATCATTTCAATTTACCACAGGTGGACTCCAATCAAGTTGTAGAAACATCTCAAGGATGATCAACGGAAACAGGATGCACCTGAGCTCAATTTCGAGTCTCATAGCAAAGGGTCTGAATACTTAAGTAAATAAGGTATTTCTGTTTTGTTTTTTTATACATTTGCAAAAATGTCTAAAAACCAGTTTTTGCTTTGTCATTATGGGGTATTGTGTGTAGATTGATGAGGAAAAATGTTGATTTAATCAGACATACATTTAGTCATGTATACATTGTTATACTCACATGCCTTCAAGGGCTCTATTTTTGGCTGGCGTTAAGGCGGCGCTAATGTCAAATGCTTGTTAGTTTGTTAGTTTGTTAGTTTGCAATTTTGTCATGTAAAAACTGACACACTGGCATTTTCCAGCCCTAACGCCAGGTTCGGCAATTTACCTGTCTTATATCAGCTCAGATGGGAGGGGTGGAAATATTTGAGGTGTGTCCTTAAAAACACGATCCAAAGGGCTAATTTCAGGCAGCGCTGATAGGGATATTTAAGACGGTAACGCAGTTGGTTATGGCATGAATTTTGACAACGGAAACGCAGCCTATCCGGCTGTAACGCACACTGCCCATATGCGCATGGAACAAGAGTAGCCTAATGTGCTTTTGGTTCCTTTATACTTCATATAAACGAATGTTTTTCCCATTTCATTTTATTTGATTGAAAACCAAGCATTGCCTCCCTTCCTCTCAATGAAAGCTTTTTTTGGTCCTGCACAATGCAATCGCTAAGTAGTCAAGACTGTCGATAAAGGGTTTGGCTCCGGTTGGAAATAAATCTTAATCACCAAGATTGAGAGGAGTAAAACAGTGAGCTGACATTCCCTTTTTATCTATGCATTGTAGGCATGCCCACATTATTTTAGTCATGCAGGTCCCATTTTGGATGTGAGTAAAACCCTCCATAGTCTGCATTGCTTTAATATTATATACCCACGGGGAGAAATTATGGGACCTGTAAGTGTGACATAGCCAATTTAAACAAGTTGTTGTTTCGTTTTGTTTACATTTCGATTATAATTATTTGTTCTCTTTTTAGGCCTTATCAGTAATTAATGTAGTCTTGCTTATTGACAATGTTTGGCATATCCATGCTCAGCCATAATGCAATTTACAGTAGGCCTAGCCCCTATATCAGTGTGAATGCTATTGAAGCCATGCAATTACTTAGAACAATGTGGACTGCAAATGGGTTCAAGCTAACTATTTAGCAAAGATAGGTCTACATTTTGTTGTTTCGTTTCTGTAAGCCATTTAACAAACCATAACAGACTAATATTGGAATTGGAGTTGATTCCAAGGCAATACATAAAAGACCATAAATACACAACTTGAAGCAACCACATATTTCGCCATGGACCACGTTCTGATTGGCCAGTGAGGGGCCAAGACTTGACATACCCACAACTTGTTTATTCATCAAAGCCCAGCCCAGCCCTTTTACGTAAACGGCAGCAAGTGCACCGATAATTGTGATAGTGAAAATAGCAAAAGTATTTCTGACACCCCCCTGAACCTACAGCGCTACCGCCTGCGATCAGATTTACCATTGTGTTAGGTTTGTTAAAATAGAGCTCAGAATCTCTTAAAGGCCCAATAGCCTTTAGATTTCTATTGATGAAAATGTAACACTTACTTTGATGCTTAGACCCAGACCTCCAGCTGCCTGCCTTCGGAGAACGACAGTTCTGTGCTTTAAAAAATGGGAATTGACCTTGGTAAAATAATATTGAAATGTTGGAACAAGGTTGGAGCATAACACTTGGGTGCGCGTCTTTCAGTTATCTTCACTATCAAAACCCTAACATTGACACATACAGAATGCCTCCATGGTAAAACATAAAGAAGATACTTCCATTATTATAGAGACTTTCAATACAGTATGCTATTCAATTGACCACCATACTAAAGCTAAATGTTAATCAGATCTTTCGTGTCCCCATTACATCCAAGTAAAGCTATCGTGAGCTATAACATCAGTGTCAGGATGTGAAAAGCCAGCTGAGGTCTCGTCATCATCAGGTATTAATGTGAACGGATCTGAAGTCACTTCAGGTCACCTTCAATGAACGCTGAGTAACAGGAGAACAAATATATTCACACACAAATACCAGTTTGAGATTAAAAAGTGCTAGTTCTGTGTGCCTGGTTAATCCAAGTATGGGAAAGCCCACTCTTGACACCCATGCGACCCCTAATGTCAAGGTAGATCTTAAGTACTTACATTTAATTGTGTGTCACCCCCTCTTGTGCAAACCACATCCAGCTTCTGTATGGTGAACACCTCTTTTGTCAGCTTCAGACGGACATCATAAGTATTATTGGTCTCCTTATTATACAGCAGGGCAATTCCAGCTTTTGTCTGTTGACACATAGAAGAACAAATACCATTTTTACCTGCCTGAGTTCCTGGGACTTAGACTGTGGATTTGTCGGTTCCACTGTGTTTACACCACAACAGAACGTAAACACTATAAAACTGGAGATGTTGTTAATCTTTGATGGTTTGAATCCCGGCCTTGAGACAAACGAAAAATTATTTAACGTACACTATCGGTCAAAAGTTTTAGAACACCTACTCATGAGAGAATGCCAAGAGTGTTCAAAGCTTTCATCAAGGTAAAGGGCGGCTATTTGAAGAATCTGAAATATAAAATATATTTTGATTTGTTTCACACTTTTTTGGTTACTACATGACTCCATATGTGTTATTTCATAGTTTTGATGTCTTCACTATTATTCTACAATGTAGAAAATAGTAAAAAATAAAGAAAAACCCTTGAATGAGTAAAGTGGTTCTAAAACTTTTAACCGCGTAGTGTATAGCAACTAAACTTATCACCCAAAACCTGAGGGTCTGAGGGTAAAATCCAATAGTATGTTGGCATAACCATCTGTTTGGCTGCATTTATCATGTCCTCCGTTCCTAAGGTAATTGGATCGTCCTAACAACCAGTCTTGCTATAGTGGCCTAGTTCTCCCACTAACAACAGGAGCTCCGGGAGCTGCTTTACACAGCTGCTTCAAAAAACAAATACATGAAAAATGCTTCTTTATTAAGATTTGTTTTCTTTCCCTCCAATGTTTTATACCGCTCGTTCTGTTCACATTATATCCTCCATGGATTCTTTCTATGACTTCTGTTTTCGTTCCATCTCTTGCTTTTGCCTAATGGGCTGGAAAAATAACGCATGGATGATGAAACATTTTTTATTATTTTTTTTTTTTGAGAGTTCTAGAATGGTATTTTATTTTACTAAAGCACTCAGGTATTATTGGCATTGATCAAAAGTAATTCAGGTACAGCTAAACAATACGTTTGAATTAAAACAAACGCTTGCCTAAGCACTGTTTTTGTTTAAGCACAAAGCACCATATATTTTTCTCTTGTGATGACTTTCCAAGAACGTCACAAGAAGGGCAAGATGTCCGCCTTAGAGGAGGTCTTTGAAAACGTGGACAAAGAGCTTGAGAGAACAACACAGAGCACCCTGTCTGTCCATCATTCAATGAGTTCACAACAAGACAGAGTTGTACAGAAGCCTGCCTTCACTTCCCACACCGCAAGACCCAGCACCCTGGTGGTGGGAGAAGAGAGACATGGCATGCACCCTTCCCATCTTGTCAGAGCTCTCCGTCATGTACTTGAGTGTCTTCACCTCCCCTGCAGAAAGGTGATGCAATTAGCCAGGAGAGATCACACGTTCTGCTAGCGAAAGTTGACATGTTGACATTTCTACAGAAGAACTGTTCATTTTGAAGCCTATGACACAATAAATAAATAAAAAACACAATAAAATAAAAAAACAGGGTCATATTATTTATTTATTTATTTTTTTATTTCACCTTTATTTAACCAGGTAAGCCAGTTGAGAACGAGTTCTCATTTACAACTGCGACCTGGCCAAGATAAAGCAAAGCAGTGCGATAAAAACAACGACACAGAGTTACATATGGGGTAAAACAAAACATACAGTCAATAACACAATAGAAAATCTATATACAGTGTGTGCAAATGTAGTAAGTTATGGAGGTAAGGCAATAAATAGGCTATAGTGCAAAATAATTACAATTAGTATTAACACTGGAATGATAGATGTGCAAGAGATGATGTGCAAATAGAGATACTGGGGTACAAATGAGCAAAATAAATAACAATATAGGGATGAGGTAGTTGGGCGGGCTAATTTCAGATGGGCTGTGTACATGTGCAGTGATCGGTAAGGTGCTCTGACAACTGATGCTTAAAGTTAGTGAGGGAGATAAGTGTCTCCAGCTTCAGAGATTTTTGCAATTTGTTCCAGTCATTGGCAGCAGAGAACTGGAAGGAATGGCGGCCAAAGGAGGTGTTGGCTTTGGGGATGACCAGTGAGATATACCTGCTGGAGCGCATACTACGGGTGGGTGTTGCTATGGTGACCAATGAGCTAAGATAAGGCGGGGATTTGCCTAGCAGTGATTTATAGATGGCCTGGAGCCAGTGGGTTTGGCGACGAATATGTAGTGAGGACCAGCCAACAAGAGCGTACAGGTCACAGTGGTGGGTAGTATATGGGGCTTTGGAGACAAAACGGATGGCACTGTGATAGACTACATCCAATTTGCTGAGTAGAGTGTTGGAGGCTATTTTGTAAATGACATCGCCGAAGTCAAGGATCGGTAGGATAGTCAGTTTTACGAGGGCATGTTTGGCAGCATGAGTGATGGAGGCTTTGTTGCGAAATAGGAAACTGATTCTAGATTTAACTTTGGATTGGAGATTCTTAATGTGAGTCTGGAAGGAGAGTTTACAGTCTAACCAGACACCTAGGTATTTGTAGTTGTCCACATACTCTAGGTCAGACCCGTCGAGAGTAGTGATTCTAGTCGGGTGGGCGGGTGCAAGCAGCGTTCGGTTGAAGAGCATGCATTTAGTTTTACTAGTGTTTAAGAGCAGTTGGAGGCTACTGAAGGAGTGTTGTATGGCATTGAAGCTCGTTTGGAGGTTTGTTAACACAGTGTCCAATGAAGGGCCAGATGTATACAAAATGGTGTCGTCTGCGTAGAGGTGGATCTGAGAGTCACCAGCAGCAAGAGCGACGTCATTGATATACACAGAGAAAAGAGTCGGCCCAAGAATTGAACCCTGTGGCACCCCCATAGAGACTGCCATAGGTCCAGACAACAGGCCCTCCGATTTGATGTTTTCAACCCCATTTCATAAGAAGCAACTTCAAGTAAAGCGTTGATGTGGTCAATCTTAATTATTTACAATAACAAAAATACTTGACATCCAAATTTGTGTTTTCACTAAAACCCAATGAGTGTCCTCCTAGTAGAGTAGGATGCGTCCCATTCTTGCCTCTATGACGTAGTACGTTTGATTCCCTATACCTCATGAGGAAGCAAACGGGATGCAATCTCTTGATAGCACAAAGGTTTGTTCCATGCCTCTTTTAAAAAGATTTAGAGAAAGGGGACAATTATTTTTCAAAGACAGTTTGGAATTTAGGTCATGCATTTTCCCCTTGACTTCCAGAAGGAGATACGTATTCTTCAAAGCTTTATGTAGAGACTGAGGGAAAACACCGCTGGACAATACACATGAGAGGGGGACACAACACGATAGTTATTTCTGGCATTCTCTCTCCAGGGGATGCAGATGGGGGTGAAAAGAGAACAGAAAGCATATTGGCAAATGCCTATTAGTGCAATAAGCCAGTAGCTAGGTTTCCATCCAATTGGCGACATTTTTTCAATGCGAATATTCTAAAATCCACATAAAAAATGTATGTGCATTTTCCCACCAGAGATGTGCTTCCATCAAATTGACTTGTTGGGGATAAAAGGCTGTGCAGGATGACATAGTGCACATCAAATTATACTTTTGAGTTTCACTTTCCATGTACTGAATAAAAATTACAAGTTAAATGGGTTTTCCATCACATTTTCAACTCGACTGATGGGTTCTGTCACTAAACATGTTGCGTTATATAGCGAATGTGCCCACTCTGGTCATGGCACTGTGTTTTAGCCAACAGCTCACACTCATAGATACAGTGCGGGTATAGCCTACATGATGAGATTATTATGGACAAACTATTATTTTCATTTGTCAAACGGCAGCCAAGCATCGATCATCATGTCACCAGAATAAGACCATCAAGCTCATCACTGTGCACTTTCACCACCCGGTGAAAGTTCATCATACTTTATTTAATCTGTAGCCTAATAAACTGCATGGTTTCCGGAGTCGTGGTAAGAGGACCACACAATATCATTGCGTAACTACAATTTATTTCAATATTACATTTGACATTTTAGTCGTTTAGCAGACGCTCTTATCCAGAGCGACTTACAGTTAGTGAGTGCATACATTTTTCATACTGGCCGCCCCATGGGAAACAAACCCACAACCCTGGCGTTGCAAGCGCCGTGCTCTACCAACTGAGCTACAGGGGACATGATATGATATGAGGGTTAATATATCAATATTAGTGTATAAAAGCATTTCCCACGCAATTTCTCGCATTAATACATTTTACCGACACAAAAAACATCCCACTGCGTATTTTGTTTTGTCAACATTTGGAAAGTTTACCGACAAAATGTTCTGTTTCTGTCAAGCCTGTCTTGACATTTTTTATTCGACATGTACTTGACTCGCATATAAAGATTGGATGGAAACCTGGCTGATGGAAACATGAAATGCAAGTACAATTTTATAAATGCCGACAGACATGGTGGGATCTTTTTGTGTCTGTAAAATTAATAATGCGAGATATGGCGGTGGAAATGACATTATACGCAAGTACTGATATAATAACCATCATATCGAAGTAACTTGAAGTCACGTGATGATATGGTGTGTGGTCCTCCCACTACAACAAGGGAAACCATGTCGTTTATTAGGCTACAGATGAAATAACTGATGAACTTCACAGGGTGGTGAAAGTGGATGGTGATGAGCTTGATGCTACTTTCCAATAAATATCGAGGGTCTTATTCTGGTGACATGATGATCGATGCTTGGCTGCCATTTGACAAATGGGCGGCAGGTAGCTTAGTGGGTAAGAGCGTTATGCCAGTAACCGAAAGGTCGCTGGTTCTAATCCCCGAGCCGACTAGGTGAAAAACCTGTCGATGTGCCCTTGAGCAAGGCACTTAACCCTAATTTGCTCCTGTAAGTCGCTCTGGATAAGAGCGTCTGCTAAATGACAAAAAAAAACATGCAAATAAAATCGCTCTTATCCATAATAATCTCGTCATGTAGACTATAACCGCACTGTATCTGTGAGCTGTTGGCTAGAGCCCAGGTGCCAAGACCAGAGTGGGCACATTTGTTATTCATTGTAGAGTTGAAAATGTGATGGAAACCTTGTCATTTTCATTCGGTACATGGGAATTTAATGGTAAAAGTTATTTTTATGTGCACAATGTCATCACGTACAGCCTTTTACCTGGAAAAAGTCTGTTTGGTGGGAAAATGCATGCTTGTTTTTTGCAGATTTTAGAATATTTGTATGGCAATCTGTCGCAAAATGGATGGAAGCCTTGCTAGAATTGCAAAATGGATGGAAACCTTGCTAGAACTGCAAAAAATATTGACATATTTGGGTTTTTGACCACGTTTGTCCTTGGATGTTTTTAGTGCATCAACCAGCCTTAAAGGGTTCATTATCAATAGAGAGAAACGTTGTTACCCCTTCAGCACATTTACCAGCAAGGGGAGTGTTTGGAAGAGGGAATCATTCAAGGGACATTTTTTTAATGTTCTACTTCATATTCTTCATCTCCAGCACCACCCCAACATCAACATATGTGCAAATGGCACGTTTCTATGTTTTGTAATCAAAATGATCGAGGAAGACAAGTGTTTCAGATGACATCATCGGTGTGCATTGTGTGATTTTAACCAATTATGAGTAAGGCATTGCCTGCTAATTGTCTCCTAATTGGTTGATAATGTCATTGGAAACATTTATCTTCCTCTATCTTTTTTTACTACAAAAAAACATAGTAGGGCACGCCATTTTCACTTACATTGATGTTGGGGTGGTGCTGGAGATGATGAATATGACATTTCCCTTTAAGTTACCATAAATAAAAATCAATCAATCAAGTCTATCAACACTATAAATGCCAATAGAACTTTATAATTAAGCTCCCTAACTACTGTCAGCTGACCAATTACATCTGTGGCGGCTGGATATGATACTAATAAATAATGTTTTAATAATAATAATTTATTTAAAGGCCCAGTGCAGTCAATAACGTGATATTCCTGTGTTTTATATATATATATATATATTTCCACACTATAAGGTTGGAATAATACGATGAAATTGTGAAAATTATGATAACGCCGTTTTAGTGTAAGAGCGCTGTGAAAAGACCACCTGACATTTTTGCCTGTTTTGGTTGGATGGAGTTTTTGGCCTGACTGGTGATGTAACTGAGTTAATAGACCAATAAAAAAAGAGAGTTCCAAACATAGTTAAGTTTTCAGCTAGTTTTCAGTTTTCCCCATCTACACTCAGACCACCCTCAGACAGTTCCTTGCTTGAGAAATTGCTCTTTGCTAAGGAGCTATTTTTGTTTCTTTTTGACCATTTTAACTGAAAATATTGTTACCCAGAAATGATTTGATATTGAGATAATTTTTTTAAAAGGCTGCATTGGGCCTTTTAAAAAATCTGAAAGCGCATAAAAAGCTAAATGAACAAACAACACATTTAAATGGAGATGGTAGAGATGGAGATTGAATGTCTCTATTTGGGTTCGGATGAAAGGCTGGGAGTTAAGGCAGATTGGGTTGGAAAGACAGTGTAGCTTCAGCGGAGGGCGGGAGGGAGCATCGATGGTACAGCCGGAGAGAAACAAAGACGGTCTGACAAACAGGCCCAGAGCGCTTCATCAGTGCACCACATCTGCTTCTCCAATGGTCAGTTCCTCCATAGGACCCGCTCCTCTGTGGGTACTGGGCCTCCATTGCCGAACATGTAGCACACACCTGGTACTACCAAACATGCTGTTAGCATGCCATTGGGAAGAAACAGACACATGAGAAACCAGGGGAAATAAACTGCCACATGAGAAACCTGAGGAAACAGCCACATGAGAAACCAGAGGAAACAGTTATATGACAAACCAGGGGGGGGAAACTGTCACATGAGAAACCAGGGGAAAGAAACAGTCACATGAGAAAACAGGGGAAAGAAACTGCCAAATGAGAAACCTGAGGAAACAGCCACATGAGAAACCAGAGGAAACAGTTATATGACAAACCAGGGGGGGGAAACTGTCACATGAGAAACCAGGGGAAAGAAACAGTCACATGATAAACCAGGGGAAAGAAACAGTCACATAAGAATCAATCAATCAATCAAATGTATTCATAATGCCCTTTTTAAATCAGCAGATGTCACAAAGTGCTATACAGAAACCCAGCCTAAAACCCCAAACAGCAAGCAATGCAGATGTAGAAGCAGAAACCTGGGGAAAGAAACTGCCACATGAGAAACCAGGGGAAAGAAACAGTCACATGAGAAACCAGGGGAAAGAAACAGTCACATGAGAAACCAGGGGAAATAAACAGTCAAATGAGAAACCAGGGGTAAGAAACAGTCACATGAGAAACCAGGGGAAAGAAACAGTCACATGGGAAACCAGGGGAAATAAACAGTCAAATGAGAAACCAGGGGAAAGAAACAGTCACATGAGAAACCAGGGGAAAGAAACTGTCACATGAGAAACCAGGGGAAAGAAACAGTCACATGAGAAACCAGGGGAAAGAAACAGTCACATGAGAAACCAGGGGAAAGAAACAGTCACATGAGAAACCAGGGGAAAGAAACTGCCACATGAGAAACCTGAGGAAACAGCCACATGAGAAACCAGGGGGAAAAAACTGCCACATGAGAAACCTGAGGAAACAGCCACATGAGAAACCAGGGGGAAAAAACTGTCACATGAGAAACCAGGGGAAAGAAACATGGCAACACTGATCTTATATTCATGGCCTTCAGGATTTATGGTAACACTGGTCATATATTCATGGCTTTCAGGATTCATGGTAACACTGGTCTTATATTCATGGCCTTCAGGATTCATGGTAACACTGGTCTTATATTCATGGCTTTCAGGATTCATGGTAACACTGGTCTTATATTCATGGCCTTCAGGATTCATGGTAACACTGGTCTTATATTCATGGCCTTCAGGATTCATGGTAACACTGGTCTTATATTCATGGCTTTCAGGATTCATGGTAACACTGGTCTTATATTCATGGCTTTCAGGATTCATGGTAACACTGGTCTTATATTCATGGCCTTCAGGATTTATGGTAACACTGGTCTTATATTCATGGCCTTCAGGATTTATGGTAACACTGGTCTTATATTCATGGATTTCAGGATTCATGGTAACACTGGTCTTATATTCAATGGCCTTCAGGATTTATGGTAACACTGGTCTTATATTCATGGCTTTCAGGATTCATGGTAACACTGGTCTTATATTCAATGGCCTTCAGGATTTATGGTAACACTGGTCTTATATTCATGGCCTTCAGGATTTATGGTAACACTGGTCTTATATTCAATGGCCTTCAGGATTCATGGTTGTGAGACTTATTTTGACATAGAACTAATATATTCTGGCAAACATTCCCACACTAGTGTCATAAATGAATACAGTGTTGAATAAAGAGTAAATTGTCTTAAATGCTTATGCATTATCGGTCAGCTAATTAGGGTAATTTCAATAACACTTTATTTTACAGACCACTTCTTTGAACGTTACTTCATAATTACTTATTAAAACGGTAATGACCTAATAACTGCATAGTAAATTACACTTCAATGTTTTCTGAGATGTATTGACAAAAAATGTCACCATGTTCCACTTGGTTCCATGTCGCTACCAATCGTGTTTAATTATTTGAGATAAATACACAAGAAAAAATTACATCATTACAGAATGATTATAGAACTGAAGCACAGTGCATAGCGGTAAATCACCTAGAGTCAAATGAAACAAGTGCAAGAAGAAGACGTGTCCTACCAAAGAGCCCATAGTCCACATGCAGCAATGGATGGAAATATCCAGTTCCAGAAGGATATGGATATTTTTACATTTTCACATTTTAGTCATTTAGCAGACGCTCTTATCCAGAGCGACTTACAGGAGCAATTAGGGTTAAGTGCCTTGCTCAAGTGCACATCGACAGATTTTTCACCTAGTCGGCTCGGGGATTAGAACCAGCGACCTTTCGGTTACTGGCACAACGCTCTTAACCACTAAGCTACCTGCCGCCCAGGACGATCTTGGCAGGTGTCACAGTCAGTGCTTCTGTCAGGCTTTGGTCTTTCATTTGTTTCCCTTTATGATCTTTCAGTCTGGAATCAAAAAATGAAGTCAATGGAACACAGGATGAAAGGATGAAAAGAAACAGATCAAGTACTCATGGCAGATTCTCCTCTGGTTGGAGGTCATTTAAACCTACCCTCGAGGGATAATGTCATGGCAGCTTTCCTCTGGTTGGAGGTCATTTAAACCTACCCTCGAGGGATAATGTCATGGCAGCTTTCCTCTGGTTGGAGGTCATTTAAACCTACCCTCGAGGGATAATGTCATGGCAGATTCTCCTCTGGTTGGAGGTCATTTAAACCTACCCTCGAGGGATAATGTCATGGCAGCTTTCCTCTGGTTGGAGGTCATTTAAACCTACCCTCGAGGGATAATGTCATGGCAGATTCTCCTCTGGTTGGAGGTCATTTAAACCTACCCTCGAGGGATAATGTCATGGCAGATTTCCTCTGGTTGGAGGTCATTTAAACCTACCCTCGAGGGATAATGTCATGACAGCTTCCCTCTGGTTGGAGGTCATTTAAACCTACCCTCGAGGGATAATGTCATGGCAGCTTTCCTCTGGTTGGAGGTCATTTAAACCTACCCTCGAGGGATAATGTCATGGCAGCTTTCCTCTGGTTGGAGGTCATTTAAACCTACCCTCGAGGGATAATGTCATGGCAGCTTCCCTCTGGTTGGAGGTAATTTAAATCTACCCTTGAGGGATAATGTCATTGCAGCTTCCCTCTAGTTGCAGGTCATTTAAACCTAACCTCGAGGGATAATGTCATGGCAGCTTCCCTCGGGTTGAAGTAATTTAAACCTACTCTTGAGGGGTAATGTCATGGCAGCTTCCCTCTGGTTGGAGATCATTTAAACCTACCCTCGAAGAATCATTTCACGGCAGCTTCCCTCTGGTTGGAGGTCATTTAAACCTACCCTCGAGGGATAATGTCATGGCAGATTTCCTCTGGTTGGAGGTCATTTAAACCTACCCTCGAGGGATAATGTCATGGCAGCTTCCCTCTGGTTGGAGGTCATTTAAACCTACCCTCAAGGGATAATGTCAGCAAATTGATGTTCAGTTGAGGGCCAAGCATAATTTGCTGCTTCAGTTTTAAAGGGAATATCTAACTTGTAATGCAATTCGAGGCTGTCAAAATTACACCTATTTTTGGTACATCTGACTGTTGTGACCATTCAGGAATTCAAGGAGAATACAATCCAGCATAATGATTTATAGTAAATATAATATTAATAATAATTAAAATCATCGGCAGTATGACTGCAAAGTTAAACAGGTCTTATGCAAATCAGTAGAATCTGGTGCACAATGCACTTACGAAATACCAGATTTTAGAGGAGGCAAATCACATTAAAAAAAATATCTCATTTTGAAATGCATGGGACATCATTAAAATTCACGAGGCCCTTAGATCAAAATGAAAATGACAATGAATGGTGTTAATAAAAATGCAGCGGAGGAGTTTCATTTTAATTTGCTAAGTAAACATCTCAGGACAGTATTTAAATAGGTAGAATCCAGCCGATCTAATAGGAATCATAGGAGAATCATTATCTGGCTGAGATTGCATTGCTTCCAACCAGTAGAATAGAGGCAGGTAAAAGCCACCTAGGTGGCTCAGGATATGGCATTTTCAAAACAGATACAAGAGCAGGACTGACTTGGTTTATTATTAAGCCTGATTGATTTCTTGGCTACAACTCCATCGACTTTCACACTCCACTGGGGTGTAATTATGTTTCTGCTGCCCATGCTAAGAGGAGGAGGAGGGGGGGGGGGGTTGCATGCATTTTTTTTTCATGTACCTCACAGTTTTCATTACAGCATAAATCAAAGGTGTTTATTAAAGAATAATAACCGAAAATATCCAATCCTGAAGGCAGATTAAAACATGTTTTGATAGTACAGATATTGCTTGGCCTCTGGCACTACAGCCAGGAATGTTAACACTTAACATACCTCAGAATGGGTGATCGGTCCTTGGAGAATGTAACTGAAGTGATGGGGGGGGGGTAGTATTTTTCCATATAGCTGAATCTATATGACGTGGGATCATCTACAAAACAAGACTGTAAATGTTCTTCTAGAAAGAGCAGACAAGGGCAGATCTAATCTGAGTCTACAAAACATTAGGAACATTGATAATATTGAGTTGCACCACTTTTGCCCTCAGAACAACTTCAATTTGTCGGGGCATGGACTATACAAGGTGTCGAAGGCATACCACAGATTGGAGGTCATACCACAGATTGGAGGTCTGGGCTTTGACTAGGCCATTCCAAGACATTTAAATGTTTCCCCTTAAACCACTCAAGTGTTGCTTTAGCAGTATGCTTAGGGTCATTGTCCTGCTGGAAGGTGAACCTCCGTCCCAATCTCAAATCTCTGGAAGACTGAAACAGATTTCCCTCAAGAATTTCCCTGTGGCGCCATCCATCATTCCTTCAATTCTGACCAGTTTCCCAGTCCTTGCCGATGGAAAAACATCCCCACAACATGATGCTGCCACCACCATGCTTCACTGTGGGGATGGTGTTCTCGGGGTGATGAGAGGTGTTGGGTTTGCGCCAGACAGAGCGTTTTCCTTGATGGCCAAAAAGCTCAATTTTAGTCTCATCTGACCAGAGTACCTTCTTCCATATGTTTGGGGAGTCTCCCACATGCACACAGGTGGACTTTATTTAACTAATTATGTGACTTCTGAAGGTAATTGGTTGCACCAGATCTTATTTAGGGGCTTCATAGCAAAGGGGGTGAATGCATATGAACGCACCACTTTTCCGTTATTTATTTTGAATATCTTTTTGAAACAAGTTATTTTTTTCATTTTACTTCACCAATTTTGACTATTTTGTGTATGTCCATTACATGAAATCCAAATAAAAATCAATTTGAATTACAGGTTGTAATGCAACAAAATAGGAAAAACGTCAAGGGGGATGAATACTTTTGCAAGGCACTGTACACAATCCATGTCTCAATTGTCTCAAGGCTTAAACATCCTTCTTTAACCTGTCTTCTCCAGCTCATCTACACTGATTGATGTGGATTTAACAAGTGACATCAATAAGGGATCATAGCTTTTACCGGGATTCACCTGGTCAGTCTATGGAAAGAGGTGTTCCTAATGATTTGTCCACTCAGTGTACAGCAAATCTAAATGATTTTGCTGACAAAAAGGGATACAGAGATAAAAGGATCTCTGTAATCATCCTGAAAATCAGACCCATCTGTAGAAATAGTGGCTGTTGATCCCGTGGGAAGAAGATGAATGGTTGAACACCTTGTGAAAAATACTCTTGAATCATTACTGAGATTCATAACAGAAGACAATCATTTCTGACTAAAAGGGTTTGCTCACCAGTAAATCACAACCTGATCTAACAATCTATTTTCTTGTCTACGAGCTTCAAGATACATTTTAATGACGCTTCTGCGCATGTATTCACTCACGGGAATTCATGCAACTTGATGACTGCGTGACGAGAAATGCGAATGAGTTTAACCTCTTAATTCATACTCTCTCTGGGTGCATTCATACAGGCAGCCCAATTCTGATATATTCTGATATTTTATTGGCGAAAGAGCTGATCTGATTGGTTGTCCCGCTAATTATGATTACGTCATATCTACCGTTAACATCAAAGATCCAATTTTTGTCTCTGCAGGTCTTTCTGACATTGGAGGGTTATTTCACCTATAGCAAACAGAAATTAGGGAAATTCACTTTCAATAACGGAAGAATATCGGGGGGGGGGGAGTTAATAACAAGTTAAAAACATGTATATTGCGTGGGTCATTTAACATCACCTTTGTGTGATTTGTTTAGATGGGAAGGAGAGGGGGGACCAATGATGGAGAAATGTCAGATTAGGGGATTAAACCTCGATCTCAGAGGACAATGGCTGTGTTTACACAGGCAGCCCGATTCTGATCTTTTTCCACTAATTGGTCTTTTGATCAATCAGATCAACTCTTTCGCCAATAATTTTGCTAAATATCAGAATTGCGCTGCCTGTGTACACGCAGCCAATGTGTTGTGCAGAGTCTGTAGCGTTATCACTTAAACTCGGGCATAGTTTATTTTCCAGACCTGCATCCACTATGAGTGAACCAATTCCATAGACTAGAAATACACGGTAGTCTTATTATTAGTATGGTCAACTGTTTTAGGTCTATGCAAGGTGCACACTGTATTCAGTGGTCTTTGTTTTGCTGTAATAAAAAAAAAAAGTGCCTAGTGTTTTCTTTCTGCCGAACATGACCAAACCGGCTCCGCCCGTGCGTTTGCATGCGCCATCATGCGCATGTCTATGTTGTCTATCCCCACCAGATGCGTTCATATCCACACGCAGGTTAAAATACCAAAACCAACTGTGAACCAACTATAATAATTTGGGGACAGGTCGAAACACACATGAAACATTCATGGACATTTAGCTAGCTTGCTGTTGCTAGCTAATTTGTCCTGGGAGATAAACATTGGGTTGTTATTTTACCTGAAATGCATATGGTCCTTTTCTTTTGCTGGATCTTTGTAGAATTTTGGTCAGCATGTTAGGCTACCCCAAGATGGGTGCGGCAGGTAGCCTACACTCTTAGAAAAAGAGGTGCCTAGTAAAACCATATGGGGTTCTTCAATTTGTCCCCATAGGGGAACCCTTTCTTCCAAAAACGGTTCTTAGGATGATAAAGATTCTAGGTTGAACCCTTTGCCTTGCAAAGAACCCTCATCTTCCAAAAAGGGTTCTTCACATGAAAATGGTTCTTGGTAGTTGAACGGTGTTTCCTCCTACACATTGGTGCGGCTGGCTTCCGGGTTAAGCGGTCCCGTGTTAAGGAGCGCGGTTTGGCAGGTCATGTTTCGGAGGACGCATGACTCGACCTTCGCCTCTCCCGAGCCCGTTGGGGAGTTGCAGCGATGAGACAAGATCATAATTGGATCGCAATTGGATATCACGAAATTGGATATCACGAAATTGGGGAGAAAAAGGGGGTGAAACAATAATAAAGAAATGTTTCAATGTTTTTTGATAGAAACCTATTCCTCTGCAAAGAACCCTTTTGGGACCCTTTTTTTTCTAAGAGTGTAGCGGTTAGAGCGCTGGGCCAGTAACCAAAAGATCGCTAGTTCGAATCCCCGAGCGGACAATGTGAAAAATCTGTCGATGTGCC